TCAAAGCAGTGGTCAATTGCTGAATTTGTAAGGATTGCTCTGTATAATCGATGGGATAAAAAGACTCCGGTGCCCTCGACTGCCTCCTGATGCATGTTGAACCTCGCCTGTCGCTGCTCTTGTTCTTCCATCACCGAGGAGTGCCGTGCTTCGCGTTCCTGCAACTGTAGAAACTCCTGGCGCAGCTGCTCCATCGGTCTTGATACCTCATCACCTGGCCAAACGGATTCATTGCGCACGTGAAGACCTTTGTGCGTCCATGGGCCTGTAGGTATATAATTACCTCCACTTAAGGTTTGGATGTTGAACGGCAATGACTTGCGGCAGTCTATCCATTTCATGTCTATCCATCCTATTGTATCACTCGGTAGCTCTGATTTTCAGCCTAAAGGTCGACCTGCGTGATTCGCGTGTCTGCGGGACATCAAAAAGTCAACTCCGCTCTTGCTCTGTGGCCGGAGCGTGTGCATCAGTGTGCACAGTGTGCACAGGCACGTCGACTCGTCACTTTATGAGTCGCACGGCTGTGAAGCACATGGCAGCTTTTGGAAGCGTGCCAAACCTCTCCAGTAGGAGCAAGGAAGATCTCCTTGCCCATGGGACACACTGCCTTGTGCAGTTCCATGCTCCGATCAGTTGAGCTCGAAGACGAAGTAGGGTCTTCATACTGGCGAAGGCGGTGCCGAAGTCGTGCTTGATTTGTCTCTTCCTGCTTGGTCTGATTCAATGACCATGCCAAATCTTTCTCCAGCAAGCTCTTCTCTTTCTCCAACTCTTCAATCTGCTGTCGCAACCGCTTCACCTCCAGCAGCAGGCCTGAGGTGGTAAAAAGATCACATTGGCTCTCCTGGTCCATCGCTTGGCGGAGGGCTCGCTCTTCGTCCTTATCATTCTCAATCTCGGTCATCTTGAGAGAGCTCGTGAAGTCATACTGCTGAATCCTGTAGCCCTGAGCAACCTTCTCATACACCATGCCGCAATGCTGGAAGGGCATCTTCTCTCGCGTCACCTTACCAAATTTCTTGGTGAACTTCTGGTGGTAGAGCTCAAGTGTCTCCGACGTGGTGGCAACAGCAATGTCATCAACATGGGTCGTGAGGATCGTGCTGATCTGACCATCTTTCTTCCAGAAAAACATGTTTTCGTCGAACACAGACTGTTGTCCACCAAGCTCCTCCACAAAGTCGTGCAAGCACAGTCGCCAGGCGAGAGGGGCGTCATTCAACCCGTAAACTGGCTTGTTGCAGCCGAGGAGGTACTCGCCCATCTGGGACTCAGGAATGTCGAAGGTCTTGTCGACTTTTGCCAACTGTCTCCACACGTTCGCTGGTGGAATGATGGCCACCAAGCGGCGTGGGGAGATGATGCCACGTTCCCTCAGCTTCTTCCGCACCTGATCAAATGAGAGCCCCTTCAAGAAGGCTCCCGACACGTCCAAGGACTCAATCTCCAAATTCATGGCTGCTGCCAAGCTGACCAGGATTCGCTGAGAGAGTCTTGTAGCGGTCGTTGAGCGTGTGGGCATGGAGCTCTTTTGTGGATCGAGAATCCTCTGGCACAAAGTCGGCTCTTGGCTTTCATCGTCCTGTCAGGGTTCCTCTTGAACTTGCGAACCCAAGTGCAGTCCACAATCACCATGTCATCTGTGATCTGGCTGATGTGCATCTTAAAGAAGGCACCTTCATCCACGAACTGCTTCAGTTCTGCAAAGTCGGACTGCTCAAAAGCCTCCCAGTGTCGTGCCAGCTGTTCCTCCGTCATCACGTCAGTGTCTGAGTCCACTCTGAAAATCTCGGTTGAACGGAGGTCCATGTACAGGATCTCTTCCTTCTTGCCGTGAATGTGGAAGATGTAGTGCTTTGGCAACTTCGATGTCCCTGTGGTCTTGTCGGATGCAGGAGTTCTGTTGTACTGCATGATGAGCGAATGATTGTCAAACCATGTCTCATCGCTCTGGTAGTTGATCTTGAGAGGCCTCCGTGTCATCCACCACAAGGATCTCAAAAGCAGCTCTTGTTCTGACGGTCCCTCATCATCTGCATACTCGTAGCGAGCTCTTTTCTTCTCTGGTGCCATCACAATGGTTCTGGTCTCAGGTCCATCACGCTTTTTGGACTCAGATGTGTCCATCGGATCTTGTTGTAGAGGTTCTGGAGGTCGGCGTGTGGTGATCTGAGCTGGAGGCGCCTCTTCATTGTATATGGTGAAGTAGTACATGTAGAGATGGCAGACGTCCTCCAACACAGTGTGCATGATCTTCTTGAGCACCAGGTGATTGTCTCCATTGTGTTCCATCATCACATACTGCTTTGATCCTTTTGGCCAGCTAATGAGGACACCTTTGGGGAACTTTGGCACATAGATCTGTTTCACTGCCCGTCCAAAGCGGATTCCATGAAGTTCCTTGCGACTGAAGAAGGATGCTACCCGTTTGGCCTTCATGAGAATCTCGTTGTCAGCTTCTTTCATCTCTGACGGTGTCTTGATCCATTCATAGGTGGAGTTGGCCGCAATCTTGAGGAGGAAGCCAATGGTGTGCAACTTATAGGGATCTTGTTTTTCAACCATTCGCTGCAGATCTAGCAGATCTTCTTCGCAGATTTCTTCAATGTTGTCTGCATGACAGTGCGAGAAGAAACTTCCTCGATAGACACGAATGTGTCGCAGGCTCATCAAGTATGGTCGGCCTTGATACTCCACAATGCAGGTCCCATCAGCATCATTGATCTTCAAAAGAAGTGCTGGTCCTCGCCAACCATAGTGCCCGTCGTCACGGAAGATTTCTACCTGAGTGGATCCAGCAATGAGTCCAAATATATCCAGCTTCTCTGGCCGTGTTCGGCCCGCACGAACAATGCGATCCTCCAAGATAGATGCTTGCGCAGCTTGTAGTGCAATCTGACGAAGGCGAACTGCTCTCTCGAAGACAGATTGATCCGTGTCTGCGCTGGCCACCGACAATGGAACATCTTCAACATCCAGGTAGCCTCGAGGAAGGATGCCAAACACCATCATTGCTGGACTGTAGCCACCAATGTTCAGGGTCATGTTGTGAGCCATAGCTGCTTCTGCTGCCAACTCTTCCAACTCTGGTGTGATGGAGAACCTTGCAGCTTCTGTGGAGCACTTTGACATTGTCATCTTCAGCAAACCAATATGTCGCTCCACCATGCCGGTTCCGGTGTGCTTCTTCCCAGCAGCTCCACTCGTGGTACCCATGGGAACACGTTCAATGCCAAGGCGATCGAATTCAGGAGCTGCCTCTTGTGACATCAATGATCCTTCTTGATCGCACACAATTCTTCGGCAGGGTCCAAAGTGTCTGAACCAAAGCTGCATGACTGCATCCAGAAAACTGCTCAGCTCACGAGACTTCAGTTGCCCTGCAACCTTGTATCTTGTGGCCTCATCAACAATGCAGATGAACAGGCTCGAGCGGTATTGGAAGGAGTCAATCTGGATCACTTCGTTGAAGTCTCTTGCCAAGCTGCTCTTGACTTGTGGACGTCTTGTAGCTCTCGTGAAGCGGCAGCAGACTGCACATGCTGAGACTGTTGTCTTTGCAAGTTGAAGTACTTCAGGAGGCATACCGCAACGAGAGAGCACATTCTTGAAGTCCATCACTGGGCAATGCCACATGCGCTCATGCGAACCCAGCAACAGGCGTTTTGCCTTAGCTTCATCTGTCGTGGCCAAGGTGGGCAGCTTCTTGAAGATGCGCCGAAAGTCATAGATTGGTTTGATCATCTTTGACTCTTCTTCATCATCAACTGGCTCAATCACCTGCACATCATCTGCTTCATATGGCATGGGCATTGCTTCGTCTACTGGTTGAAAATCTTCAACAGGTTCTTCCTTGACTTCGACTCTTTTGACATTCTCCGGCTTGGGCGTACCGGGTGTTGGAGTCCCGGGCGCTGGTGTTCTTGGTGCCGGAGTTGATGGAAGAGGCGGTTCTGGATTTCTTGAAGAGCTCGACGAAGGGTAGTGCCCGAAGATGCAGATCAACCAGTCTTCGTCAAAGTCGACTGGCTCGTGGCACTGATGATGTGAGAGCTCTCGTAAATCTTCCATGGGCAGCACTCTCCAGGCTTCGATGTTGCCTCGGATCATCAGCCGAAGGAAAGCCTCTTCGGCCCGTAGATGTGGTGTGGGCACCGGCTTCGTCCATGGTTGTAGGTGTGCACAAACACCTGAGACAACGATGTGTTCCTTCAGAACTTGCTTGATCCATGCCTTGGTGATGGGATCTCGAAGCCAGTGGATGTAGTCCTGCTCCTTCTCCTTTGTCTCAAAAGCTTCCATGCTTTCCATCAGCACCTTGGAAAGAGCATACTTGAGTACAGCTGCTTGTTCATTGTCAAAGCCTAGCTCATGGCCAGTAGTCAGTGTACTCTTCGCTATCTTCTTGTTGGTCTGGGCTTCTCTGCGGAAGGCGTCCATGAGGTTTTCTTCCTTCGCAAGTGCTTTTGCTTTCTTGGACTTTGGATCTTCATCGGGTCGTCTGCCATAGCGA